CCTGACACCTCACTCTGGATTTCTCCCAACATCAATGTTCTTTCTGGTACACCATAGAACCAAAGCCGAAGTATCGTCGTCCCTACGTGTCCTCGTAGGCACTTGTATAGTAGGTCTCTCTCCAAGAACCGGATCTGACGCGGGATCGGCGTAGGTTCCGTAACGCCGCTCTCGGTACCGGTGACTGGGGAATAACGACCCACCAGCTCCGCCAGTAGCGCCTGCATCTCCATTGGTGGCGCTTCCTGGAACAAGACATTTTGCATTGCTTCTTGTCCCTGCAGCTCTGAATGCAGAACGACGTTCTGGAACCGGACTGAGAGCTTCTGCAAGACCAGGCGAGCACGCCCACCTGTCATTCATTCACCAAGCTAAGACGTCGTTGTCTCCAGTCTTCTCTTTGAAAAGGATCACTCCCCCAAACCTAGGCTAGCCCTTAATAGTGACTTTCAACCTGGGGTGATTTTGTCCCCCAAGAGCTACTCAGCAATATCTGGACGCTTTTTTGGGGGGTGGGGGTGGGGCTTTAACAAATAGAAATTTATTCTCTCATAGTTAGGAGGCTGGAAGTCTGAATTCAGAGTGTCCGTTCTGCAGAAAGATCCTTGTCTTCTCCTTTTAGCATTTGTAAATCCAGCATTTCTTGGTGCTCTCCTGTGTCTTGGCTTCAATCTGGGAGCTTCACAGTACAGGTCTAAAGGCCGCACTCCTGGCTCTTTTTTCTTGGTGGTGTAGGTTCCTCCTTCTCTGCTGGGCACATTTTTGTTTGTTACAACTTGAGGGGTGCTACAGGCATCCTGGGTGGCTCTGTAGGATCTCCACTGGACCGTGAACCACAAAGTCAGCAGTTCACGCCCATCAGCTGCTCCTTGGAAACCCCCTATACAGGGTCTCTATGAGCTGGAACGAACTTGATGGCACTTTAACACCAACCACTAGCATCTAAATAGAGCCCTGGCGTGGTGTTGTAGGATTAAGCACTGGACTGCAAGGTCAGTTTGAACCACAAGGTCAACAGTTCAAACTCACCAGCAGATCCTTGGAAATACAAATGGGTCGCCATTGACGGCACTTAGCAACAGCTGGCATCTGGAGATGCTACTAATCATTCACAGGTACACAGGACAGCCCCCACAACACAGAACTGTTCAGTCCAAAATGTCCACAGTGCTGAAGATGAAAAATGCTGCCTTAAAACAAACGGGGGAAAAAATGAGGAAAGGAGGAAGAATGGAAATAAGAAAACAGGGAGGCAGTGGCAAAAGGGACGTCACATCATGAGGACTGCAATCAATGACATGAAACAAAATGTGTATGAATTGCTGAATGGAAAACTTGATGATCTGCTTTGTAAACTTTCACCCAATTCATACACACACACACACACACACACACACACACACACACCTTTTAAAACGAAAACGAAAAACAGAGATCCAGTCCCAGAAACGGATCACCACGCCTGGACTCGTCCATTGAGGGGACCTTGCTCTGAGGTGACCAAGCTTTGGGAGGAAGAACGCTATATCACGCAGGCGGGGCTAGACCAGGAGAAAAGACAAAACTTAAAAACCCAAATAAAGGCTAGAAGGCTAGGATCCTGCCCACATCTTCTGAGCCACTCAGGACTCTGCATTTTTTGGTGCAGTGGGATAAAGCACTGGATCTCATGGTCGGTTTTGAACCACAAGGCCACTCCTTGTAAACCCATTTTCAGGGTTGCTATGAGTAGAATTCGTGCTCCTTGGCGGCCAGGATGGCCAAACTTCGTCTCTCATATTTCGGACATATTGTCAGGAGGAACCAGTCACTGGAGAAGGATCTCATGTTTGGTAAAGTGGAGGGGTCGGAGAAAAAGAGGAAGAGCCCCAGCGAGATGGATTGGCCAAGTGGCAGCATCAATGGGCTCAAGCGTGGCAACAGTAGTGAGATTGGCACAGAAACACCGAGCAGTGTTTCGTTCTGTTGTGCATAGGGTCGCTATGAGTCGGTACCGACTCGATGGCACCTAACAACAACGAGAATCGACTCGACGGCGCTTAACAACACCTGAGAAAGTTACCACAGGCCGTCGACACTTTACACAATACGCTTTACTTTTGAAGCTTAGAACAACCTGCAACTTCTCGAACCTATTCTCATATGAGCTTATTCAAAATACAACTTGAGTCCTTTGGAACCAAACAGCGTAAGAGAAAACGTACCTAAAGCTAGCGCTTGGAGCATGCGCAGGGACGTCGGCGCCTTGGGCGTGACTCCCTTCTAACCCTTCCTCTTCTCCTCCCCGCGCTCCTCCCTTCCCCTCACGCAGTGTCTTCAGGATGCGCATGTGCGACTGATTCCCAGGGGAGCTGGCGGGGGGCGGGCGGTCTGCTACATCCGGGTGCTCGGCGGCCTGTGGGTGTTTTGTTTTCTTGACTGAAACTAAGAGAAATTGAGGCAGCTCGGCGAAGCTAGACTCCAGCCTCCGGACCTACTGCTCGGGCGGGATCCGACGGTAAGTGTCACCTGAGGAGTGGGGGAAAAGGGGAGGAACAGCCTCAGTCTAGGTCTCGGGGCTGGGACTGTGAGTAGCAGATGCTGACAGGGGGTCATTGACTCTCTGGGACGCTACACACTGTCTCAGTGAACCCTTCCGACACTTCCTCCCCCAACGGGAGAGACGACCGCGCCCGGAATCCGGTCTTCCAGCTGGACCTATGGGGGAGATCACTGTACCCGGGAAAATCATTTCGCCCTCCTACTTCAGAGATGGGGAAACCGAGGTCCTGAGAAGGAGTGTAATCTCCCTGGTTCGCACAGCGAGGCAGGTGACCGGAGTGAACAAGTTCCCAGACCTTCCGAGGCTCGCCCCACTCTCTAGACCTAAAATTCCCAGAGTCTGGAGAGCGGATTTAGGGCCAGAATGTGCCAGTAATCTTGCAACGCCGAGTGGACTCTGGGCGGGACCACTGGGGAGAAGCTGCTTCAACCAGGGCAGAATCAAAGGAGTCGCTTTTCAAAACCAAACCTGTAATTGTCCTAAGAATTGGCCCTGGTTATAATCACAGAATATATTTGATGTAAAAAAGGGAGGTATCTTTAGAGTCTTTACTCTTTTTAAAACTTAATGTTTCTGGTGGTGGTTATGTGCCGTGGTGTCCGTTCCGACTCTTAGCGACCCTGTACAGGGTTTCCGAGGCTGTAAATCTTTACGGGAGCAGAAAGCCTCATCTTTCTCCCGCAGAACAGCTGGTAGTTTTTGAACTGCTGACCTTGCGGTTAGCAGCTCGATTCGTAGCCACTACGCTACCAGAGCTCCTTTAAAGGTTTCTAGACAACCCGAATAGTTTCATGGATGGATGCAGCCATTTCCGTAGGAGTTTGAGTGTTTGTTGATTATTGGCAAGTTATATGTAATTCGTGCTTTTTTCATGCTCTGAAATAGAGATAAGGTAGATGTGTTTTAGGATTCTCTTTAATGTAATTCATTAAGTTACAATTTAGACTTATTTTTATGTTAATCGTGATTATCTTGCTGGGAGAGTAAAGCATTTGCTGTTTGAAGACTAAAATAAAGGTGTTCTGGGTTTTAAAAACAGACAATTTAGAAGGAGCTGTGGTGGCGTACTGTGTTACGCTTTGGACTGCTAACCACAAGGGCAGCAGTTCGAATCCACCGGCCTCTCAGCGAGAGACTGATGAGGAAATCCTATACAGGATCCGCTATGAGTCGAAGTAGACTTGACGGCATACAGTCACCCCACCATGGAATTTAGGAGTCCTGGTGTGACGCTGTAACCGCAATATTAGCGGTTCAAACCTACCAGCCACTCCTCAGAAACTCTACACAGAATCACTATGAGTCTGAGTCGATTCCCGAGCATTTAACAACAAAGATGAGGCGGTCTGCTCCCGTAAAGATTTACAGCCTCGGAAACCCTGATTAGGGTCACTATGAGTCGGAACCGACTCCACGGTACTTAACAACAACTTTAATTTAAGAAAGTTTTGTACCATGGAGTCGGTTCCGACTCAGTGAGCTTGCATAGGGTTTCTGCAAGATGAGTAGTTTTGAAGTGCTTATCTTTAGGTTAGCAGCCAGACTCCTAACCACTATGCTACCAGAGCTCCTTAATTTAAAGCAGAGCGGTGGTTAAAACTGGACTGCTAACCAAAGGTTGGCCGTTCAAAGTCACCAGCCACTGGACCAGAGAAAGCTGAGGCTCTCTGCCCTGTAAAGATAGACAGTTGAGAAACCCTTTTTAGGGTTGCTGAGAGTCGGAATCCACTAAGATGGCAGTGGGTTTGGTTCTTGGTTAGGTGGGAAGTGACGAGGGTACAGGTAAAACCTGCAGTACACTGTTGAATTTCTTAATCTGAGTGTGAAGACACATGTGTACTGTACTCAAATGTGTAAATCATAAGAACAGTTTTCATCTGAATCCATATTTTAGTCCAGAAAGTTTAGCACCTGTCTCTCCCCTATATTAGTGTCCCTGAACTGTACATATCAAATGACATAACAGCGTGGAGTCAGAATTACACAAAAGAGTTCCTGTGGCTTCATAAGCATTATGCTAGGTTATTTAAAGACTTACTTAAACTAGTTTACTAATTTACTTGGAAATAATATAGTGTGACAACAATCAGGAGGAGGTCAACCAGTGGTTCCTTTAAAATTTTTTAGTATTTGAGTACCCACCTTTCACCTTTGTTCATTTTAATAAATATAAAAAGCCATCTTTTATATCTAAATATATTTTTTAAATGTATATGAAATTTGCTCTGTAAACCTTCACCCAACTCACAATAAAAAGATAAAAGAAATCATGAAAGCATTCTAAAATTTGTATAGAAATTTATCAAAAGCTGAATCACATGTTCTGAAGAAGTATGTGAGGTGGAGAGAAAACATTTGTAATTATGTAATAACCTTTATTAAGTTATTCCAAAGCTGTGTGTTCTTTATTGCTAAGAAGCAAGTAAATAAAAATCCTTTATTATTTTTTTTAAGTGACCTGAAAACAATGTCTGGATTTCTGGAAGACCTGAGATGCTCAGAATGCATTGATTGGGGGGAAAAGCGCAATACGATTGCTTCCATTGCTGCTGGTGTTCTAGTAAGTATTTGGACTGTCATTATTTTGGTGTGTTTATGCATTTTGAATTCTGCGTGATGTTTTAAAATGTGTGCTGTTTATCTTGGATCAATGAGTTTCTTTTATGGATGTCAGTATTAGTTTGTTTTGTTTATGAGGGGGTTGATTTATTTCATTTTGAGTGCTGAAATTATGTTTTGAACTTTGAGTAACAGATTGGTTGAGTTTTTAGCTGCATTATAAAGGTGGCATAATAAGACATTACTGTTAGAGTCCAATAACTTGACTTCTGCAGGTCTATCAAGACTCACTTGAGATAGTTGTAAACAGTACACACGGACAAAATGTAGCAAATAGCAAGTGGGGTTTATTAAGCTATGAATAGTATACTTTTCAGAAGAGAAGTGGTTGTTTCTCATGCAAGTGCAGGTGAGTGTTGGCTTTCTGTTCTTTCTCTCTCCCCCTTTGTAGGGGTTTTGGCTCGTTTCCCTCAGGTTTAATTCTGACTGGCGGCAGGGTCTAGGTGGCACATATTTTGCACCCTTCTTAATGGTCTGGCTCTGCTGTGTTTCTCAGAAAGTGTGCTGCGTTCAATTTCCTGGAGTTGTTGATTCAAGTGCCAGATGCTGGGGTGAGGTTAGACTGGCTGTTAGGTTCCTATCTCTGTCCCTGACATTTCCCTCCTCTGAGAAGTAGGATCCTGAATTCTTTAAGGGAAATAGGGCATCGTTCTGTTTGGCTACTTTCTGCTGATTCAAAGATGAGCTCCCAAGTTAGGATCCTTCTCTTGAGTTTCGATTTTGACTCCTACACCTCTTCTATAAATCTAACCACTTCCTCATCCAAAGGTTCTGTGGGTATGGGTTGGAAGCCTTGCACCACTATCATTTTCGTTTGGAACTGTTGTGTTCTGGAAGATAAAAATTTAGACAACAGGTTAAACACACAGGTTAAAGTAATATTATAGCCACTATTGATCTAATAAGAGGGAGAAACTAAGTCATTGAGGAAAGCCAGCTTTTAATAGTTGTCCAAATGTTTCCGGTTAGTTCTTTTTGACTGTGTCTTAAAAGCTTGGCTATGTTTAACAGGCCTCATACCTTTTCTTCGACCTTTCCACTTAAATTGATATGAAAGCAGCAGGTGGTATTTGCCAAAGCACATATTCCTCCCTGACTAGCCAGTAGATAGTCTAATGCTATTCGGTGGTCCATCACCTGCTTTGCCAGTGAGTCAAGAGAGTATTGGATTGCTTTTATGGCAATACCAGCATCCTGGGCTGTACTCTGCAACAATCTCGAGGTGTTTGTAATACCTTATGCATCGTACACAAGCCCGCCTATAAGGCCAGCGATGACAGTGACCAGTGAGACCACTCCTGTTATAATCAGTCCTACTCATCTCTGGGTCCGATGTCTCCCTGAGTAAGCATTAACAGAAGTGATATAGGATAAGTTCCTATAAATCTGAGAGTCATAATCTACAGGTCTCAACCATCCTACTACTGTACAGCGCCCATATAAGTTGGTTACATTTACACATCTTAAAGCCCACACTTCTTCAGTGGTATTGTCTACACATAACCACCATGTCTGTGAGCCTAAGCATGGGAGTAGGCCAACTGGTGCTGTTCTCTGGGTCTAGCTAGAGTAGGATTTTTCTTAACCCATTACAAGTAGTCTTTCTCTGACAGACATTGGCATCCGGGTACCAACCAGTTTCAGGGTGCCAGTGGGTTACCCAGAGCGTTTCCTATTTTGAATCATGCCTCTCTGCCGTTCCTGCTTGTTTCTTGGCTAGTTCCAGGCCTACTTTGGGAAAAGTCCTTTGGCATAGAAGTTTCCAGTTTATATTTTTGGTATTGACTATAATATAATCCATTGAGCAAGATGGAAGGCTATAACACAACTCAAACCTTGAGGACTATAACTGGGTATCCCTTAGATTTCTCAAAGGGAGGGCTAATGCTGGACAAGTTAGTTAGTACTTGGAATGGAAGTTAAAGACACATGTTGGGAAGAACTCTGACTTTGGAGAATTTTGGGATGACACACCCAGCAATTTGTTAAATTTTTTCCCTGGGCTATTATTTTTGACTATTCAATAAAGAAATTTTCAGCTGTTACTGAAAACAGTGATAGGTTTGTGAAAATGGTGGTCTCCCCATGTCCCAGTTTCCCACAGTCCTTGCAGCTTTCACCAAACCTAGGACCTGGGCGTGACCAGCGGGACAACCTTGTGGCACTCAGGGGTTAAGGCCAGCGGCACCAGTGTCTCCTATAAATTTCGCCTTTTGGCAGTCTTTCGCCTCAGCATCTAGGTCACAGTTACTGTGTACACTGAGGTGGCAACTAGCAACAGCTCACTGAGATCACTCTGGGAACCAAGGGCCTTCCTTATGTTATTTCCTTCTTGAGTCTGGGGCAGATTGATTTATAAAATGGGTGTTTAAGATGGCCCTTGGAGCCCTAGTGTGGCACTGTGGGCTAATGCGCTGGATTTCAGAGTCAGGTTGTTCCACAAGGTCTGCGGTTCAAGCTCACCAGTGGCTCCTCGGAAACCCTATACAGGGTCGCTGTGGGTTAAAACCGACTCGATGGCACTTAACAACAACAAGATGACCCTGCCCTCTGAAAATTCAGCATCTAGATTGGTATACTTCTGCATTGCATCTACTAACCTGCCTTTAATAGCTGCGGGGTTCTCATCTTTCTTCTGAGTGATTTCAGCTAGCTTTGAGTAATTGATAGGCTTAACCTGAATTTCCCTCATGTCTTCTGTGAGACAGGTTAGCATGTAGTCTCGTGCCACTCTACCTTCATTGCCTGCTTGACTAGTTTGGTAATTCCACCCAGGGTCTTGATCTGGGATGTCCATTGCCCCAGCAGCCAGATGCTGATGAATGGTGTGGGTGTGGTCTGCTTTGTGTCTTGCAGAGTTTATTATGCAATGTTTGCCATCCACCATGCAACAGTAGGAAAATAAGACAATAATTTTGTCTTTCCAGATTACGTCAGAAATCCCTGCTAAATGCTGAAACTCCTCACTGAATTTCCCAGGGTCTGTGAAAAAGTTTCCTAATTTGGCTTTCAATTCTTTAAATCTCCCATGCTGAAGGGTATATGCGCTCTCATGGTCTGCCCATTTGACCTAGTTACTTCTTGAAGAGGGCCCAGGGATGAGTATATTTCCTGTGGTGCTGTTGGAAACAGCGTTGCTTTCTCAGGTTGGGGGCAGGAGGGGTGCTGAGAGGACTATAAGCTGGAGGGATGCCTTTAGTGTCTTTTAGGGGAGCTGTCACCGACCCCTCTGAGTCCTCAGGGGTCCTGCAGCTTTCTCCCCATGCCCTGATAATAATGCTGTCTATGGTGCATGAAAGCCTGAACATAAGAGATTTCATGCCACTTTCCTTGATTTTTACAGAAAAGATCTAACTGAAGGATATAGTATAGTAACTGGTGGACCCATTGGAGGGCCAAACCTCTGAGTCACCCAATATATACAGCAGTCAAGCTGTGTTACAAAGTAAAATCATCTTCCTCTTCTTTAAGCTGTCCATGTCTAGGGCAGGGTCCTCCCATCATCTCAGGATATGTCTCAAAGGACTGTCTGCCAGTATGGACTGGTCCCATTTCCATAAAGAGACACACAAAATCATGGAAGGGCTGAACTACTCCACCCACATCAGCATTCTGATCCTGGAGCTATCCCATGGGAGAAACTGAATCCTCCGTTCACCAGTTTCTTTCCCCTTGGTGGTGGGTTTACTGCCGCCTTCCCTTCCCGTCCACTGCAGGACTCACTTAAGTCCATCTTGGAGGAGCCTGCCCATAGCCCAGGACTCCTCCACCTTCTGCCTGTCCTTTCTTTAGGTCTTCCAGTCCATAATTGTTGTTGTTGTTAAGTGCCATTGAGTCAGTTCTGACCCATAGCAACCCTGTATAAGGTTTCTGAGCTGTTTCTGAGCTTGAACCGCTGACCTTGTGATTCAAACTGACTTTACAGTCCAGCATATTAACACACAGCGCCATATCAGGACTCCATTGTTGGTGACCCACAGTTAGGAAAGGGGTAGCAGAAGGGTGAATTCCCCTGCTCCTAGCATCTGTGTAATTCCTATTGCACCCCTGTTAAAAAAACACAGACTGGCACCAGCACGTAAAAGATAGGCTGGACTGAGTAAAGATAAAGGCTGGATTCCCGACTTTAACAGTTGTCTCAGAAAAAGGAAAGCTCCTTCCTCAGCACCCCCAGGGGTATTACAATTAAACAGATGTTGCAGAAACTGGATTAAAAGTCCTACCTCCCGCTTTTTATTGGAACCCCAAATTCTAAGCTATCTTCATGACAATAGACAATTTTGGGTATCTCCAGCAGTTCGAACTACCAGCTGTTCCATGGGAGAAAGATGAGGTTTTCTGCTCTTGTAAAGATTTACAGCCTCGGAAACCCTGTACAGGGTCGCTATGAGTCCGAACCGACTCCACGGCACATAACAACAACAACAACAACAACCTGCAGAGTTAGGGGAGTCCTGGTGTGGCACTGTGGGCTAATGCACTGGACTGCAAAGTCAGTTTGAAGTGCAAGGTCGGTTCAAGCCCACTAGTTGCTCCTAGGAAACCCTATAACAGGGTTGCTATGGGTCAGAACTAACTCGACAGCACTTAACAACAACAACAACAGCAACACAGATTTAGGGTCCAACCCCAGAGTACTAACAGGTAGTGGCAAAAGGCATAAGGGCCTGCCTAGGGACCATTCTCATAAGACAGGCAAGGGCAGGTTCTGGGAGATAGTATCTAAAGAAAGACCTCCCAAAGAGTGCATGGTTTAGACCCAGGCCCAGCATCAGGCGAAAGTGAAAGTCCAAGTCCCCTTCATGCAAGAGGAAAGACAGATACACACCGAAAGAACCACTCATTCTGCTGTAGTTAAATGTTGTGGGTCGAAATGTGCTGCTTAGGTAAGGGAGCCTCCTCAGGGTGTCACCCCTAGAATCAATTCTCCCTCTCTTATGTAGCTCAGTATTCACTTTCCCTTAGGAGGGAGAGGGGGGCATGGGCTGGGAGTGGCCAGTTTGCATCAGTCCCTGGATGCCCCTAAACTGCGTGTCTTCAGCATAAGGTTGGTGGTGGTTATGTGCCATGGAGTCAGTTCCGACTCATAGCGACCCTGTACAGGGTTTCTCATTCTCTAAAATCCTTACCTGAATGGGAGTTCCTGTGTGGCCCCAGCACGACTGCAGCCACAACGCTGCACCACCTCTTCAGTTGTTGTTGTTAAGTGCCATTGAGTTGGTTCCAACTCATAGTGACCCTGTATAGGGTTTCTGAGGAGCAGCTGGTAAGCTTGAACCACCGACCTTGTGGTTCAAATGGCTTTGCAGTCCAGCGCATTAACCCACAGCACCACAGAAATTGCCAGAGGGGAGTAAAGTCCCCCTCCAATTCATGCAATCCTACAGTTTTTTTTGGACCAGTGGGGAACCAGTTTTCCCATTGAACTCATGTACTCATGTGAATCTACTGCTGTCTGTCATTGCACTCTTTCAGCACACACCACAGGAAAGGAAATAACACAGTAGGAGAGGGATATAGAATGAAAGAATACTCACCAACCGGAACACCAATTCTAGACGAGTCCTATTCTAGGGAGTCCTATTCTAGACAAGCCCCCAAGATGCTAGGGTCTGATAACTTGACTTCTGCAGGTCTGTTGAGATCCAGTTGAGGTTGGCACAACTAGAACACACAGACAAAAAGCAGAAAATAGCAAGCCAGGTTTATTAAGTTATGGGTAGTACACTTCTCAGAAGTGGAAAGCGTTCATCTCTCTAACAAGTGAAAGAGTGTTGGCCTTCTGTTCTTTCTCCCCCTTCATAGGGTTTTTGGCTCATTTCCCTCAGCTTTAATTCTGACTAGTGGCAGGATCTAGGTAACACATATTCTGCATGCTTTTTGATGGTCTGTTGTTGTTGTTGTTGTTAAGTGCCATCGAGTCGGGTCCGACCCATAGCGACCCTGTACAGGGTTTCCAAGGGTGTAAATCTTTACGGGAGTAGAAAGCCTCATCTTTCTCCCGCGGAGCGGCTGGTAGTTTCGAACCGCTGACCTTAAGGTTCACAGCCCGCTTCATAACCACTACACTACCAGAGCTCCTTTTTGATGGTCTAGCACTGCTCTATTTCTCAGAAAGCATGTTGGGCCCAGTTTCCTGGAATTGCTGATTCAAGTACCAGGTGCTGGGGTGTGGTTAGGCTGGCTGTTAGGTTCCTACTCTGTCCCTAACAGTTACAGTATGCATTTATTAATTTTGTGCATTATGACTCCTCCTGGTAGCATAGTGGGTTACTAGAAGGGCTGCTAACCACAAGGTCAGCAGTTTGAATCTATCCGCTGTTCCATGGGAGAAAGAGGAGGCTTTCTGCTTCTGTGAAGATTTAATTAACTCACTGAACTGTAAGGTCAGCAGTTCAAACTTACCAGCCACTCCTTGGAAACCCTATACAGGGTCCCTATGAGTTGGAACCAACTAAACGGCACTTACCAACAACACTGTGATGGCTGGAGTTCTGGTGGTGCTGTGGGATAAAGCACTGTACCACAGGGTCAGGGTGAATTACAAGGTCAGTGGTTTAACTCACCAGCTACTCCTTGGAACCCTATACAGGGTCCCTATGAGTTGGAACAACTTGATGGCACTTAACAACAACAACAGTGTGATGACTGGAACTGCCGTTGCCTTGGCAGGGCCAGACCAAATGATTTCTCAATTGCACTAGGCAAATCTGCTGCACAAGACCTTTTTAAAGTGTTGGAGAGCAAAGATGTCAGCTTGAGGACTAAGGTGCACCTGACCCAAGCCATGGTATTTTCAATAATCTCATATGCATGTGAAAGCTGGACAGTGAATAAGGAAGACCATAGAAGAATTGATGCTTTTGAGTTATGGTGTTGGAGGAGAATATTGAAAGTGCCACGGGCTGCCAAAAGAACCAATAGATCGTTTTGGAAAAAGTGCAGCCAGAGTGCTCCTTGGAGGCCAAGATGGCCAAACTTCGTCTCTCATACTTCGGACATACTGTCAGGAGGGACCAGTCGCTGGAGAAGGATATCATGTTTGGTAAGGTGGAGGGTCAGAGAAAAAGAGGAAGACTCCCAGTGAGATGGATTGGCCAGGAGGCAGCATCGATGGACTCAAGCGTGGCAACAGTAGTGAGGTTGGCCCAGGATCAGGCAGTGTTTCCTTCTGCTGTGCATAAGGTCGTTATGGGTCATTACCAACTCAATGGCACCTAACAACAACAACAACAATAACATGGCCCTTAGGCCAGAGGTTCCTCACCCTTGGCAACAGTGACCTTCCTCTTAATACATTTTACATAGAGGGTCCCAGGGCAAGTTAAGCAGAAACTTAAGTGTGTTAAAGAACACTCATTGCCATCAAGCTGATTAAGACTGTCAATCTTAACAGGAGCAGAAAGCTGGTGGGTTTGAATTGACCTTGCAGCTAGCAGTCTAGTGCCTATCCTATGGTGCCACCAGGGCTCCTTGTTTAAGAAACAATCAGGTTCAAATCAGTCAAGAAATATGATTTCATTTCTCAATAATCCATTGTTAACATTCTTTTCAGTCTCTTAAATAGCAGAAAATTCCATAAAATATATTACCTAGAAGTAATACACAGTTAAAAGTTATTTACAGTAAATACAGTTCTTATTTATACTGCAAATCCCTCAAAGGATCAGGTATTTGTGATTTATGGTATCTTGTACTCTTAAAGAGTACATTTGCAATGAAAGAATGAATAAAAATCTAAGTTTAAACATCACATCTCTTCACCTGATCCCTGACATTTATAATCCAGAAAGTAATTATTCTATGCCTTTTCCAAATTTAATGGCAAAATTTAAGACTGTTGTAGAAATATTATTCTCCATAATGTGGTGGCGTAGTGGTTACAAGTCGGCCTGCTAACCTCAAAGTCAGCAGTTTGAAACTACCAGCTGTTCTGTGGAAGAAAGATGAGGCTTTCTGCTCCCATAAAGATGTAGCCTCGGAAACCCTGTGCAGGGTTGCTATGAGTCGGAACCGACTCCATGGCACATAAACACCACCACCAAACATCAAATAAAGCTTTACATTTTAGTCCACGGGGAAAATAACATTGAATAATTTTAGCTGAGGGTTGGGAAAAAAAAAGGTAAAGCAATGCTTAAGCTAGCCAGTAAAACTATCATTAAGAGTATGGATGAAAATAATTACATCAGCCTGAAGTACTGGTTATTGTTGTGATGTGCCGTGGAGTCAGTTCTAACTCATAGTGACCCTGCACAGGGTTTCTGAGGCTGTAAATCTTTATGGGAGTAGAAAGCCTCATCTTTCTCCTGAGGAACAGCTGGTAGTTTCGAACTGCTGACCCTGAAGTTAGCAGCCCGATTCATAACCACTATGCTACCAGCCTGAAGTAGTTACTTTTAAATAATTGCATGAGATGGTTGAGTCCCAGAGCTAACTGAGTCAGGGTTGGGACTGGGAGACGGGTCTACTTTCTAAACCTCCTAAACCTACTTTTTCAGAATTTGATTAATATTATTTTATTATAGTTTCTACTCAGATGATAAAAGGCATCTATGCAGTTTAAACTGTATCTCTGATTATATCCCCTAGAGAACATCCAGAACTAAATTCAATTAAGATAATTTATAATTTGGTGTTTAAGTTAAATTAGTAAGACCTGATATCACAGTGGTTAAGTGCTTAACTGCTAACCCAAACGTTGGCAGTTCAAACTGACCATCTCTGCTCTCTGGAAGAACGATGTGGCAGTTTGCTTCTGTAAAGACTTCCACCTTGGAAACCCTCTGGGGCACGTCTCTTCTGTCCTGGAGGGTCTCTATGCATTGGAATCGACATGATGGCAATGGGTTTTTCAGACTGTACTGTGATGCTTTGAGCAAGGGACAGCCACTTAAAAACCATACCTGGAGCGCTCTTACTGATCTCAGAGCACCTAGAGAATAGCTAAAAAATTTAATATCTCCATCACATGTCAAATACATCAGTAATAATTGTTCCTCATTATTACTTTGTGTAATTTTTCTGCACTTTTGATAACAGCATCTTTCTCAAGGCTTATATCAGTGGTAGACCACACTTTAGTCCATTGGAACCAGAGTCTTCTTGCTTTTGTAGACGATACTGTAATTTGTTTCTAGTTCAAAAATTAGTCTTCAGACTGTATGATGATAATATCAAATAATGATTTAAATGGACTTAGAAAATAAGTACATGTTAATAAATATTAATTGCTGTCAGATTCAGGGGTATCTGATGTATAACTATAGGCAACAGAAGTCCTCATGTGGTGCTGTAGGATAAGCTCTGGACTGCTAACCACAAGGTCGGTGGTTCAGACCCAGCAGAAACCTATTCAGAACCAACTCAACAGTACTTAACAACAATATGCAACTAAATATTAAGCCATGTATGCATTATGTACAAGATTGTATGCTAACATTTAAGAAAATTTTGAAATTCATCAGATGAGATCTCTTCACTTAGACATTACTTTCTTTAACCAGTAAGATTTGAAATGATTGTAATTTCTCATTGGTTTTTACCACATCTACTTATTTTTGCTTGTTTTAGTTTTTTACAGGCTGGTGGATTATCATCGATGCAGCTGTTATTTATCCCACAATGAAGGAGTTCAACCACTCATACCATGCCTGTGGTGTTATTGCCACCATCGCCTTCCTAATGTGAGTGCCATTGTTATTGACACTATTTACATAGCTTGTCATAAAATGTCTACATAGACAGTAAAGCCTGTGAAAGCCAGGAACCTGTCAGGGAAGGAAAACTCACATCGTTTCCATAAACAAAGAGTGATAGAAAAGTGTGAAGTCTGTACCCCATCGAAAGCAGAACACTTGCGAGACTCAGAAAACAAGGCAGTTCTGATTCTCACAGGTTTTCCTGTAACTGTATAAACTTACATTTTGAAAATGGCAACTTAATTGACTGTTGTTAAAGTTTAGTACTAACAGAGAATGGCTTATAAAGAAAAGCAAGTTGTCTTTTCTGTTCCTCTCTTCTCCCACTTCTGCCTCAGACCTTTTCTTAACTAGTCTTTTATTTTTTGCTGTCAGAGTTGATTACATTTGGGTCAGAAACCATGTATTTTGTATAAAGGTTTATACAGGTAGAGTAATGAACAAAACGGGGGAATGCCCATGTTGTCATGAAATTTACAATCTAATGAATGAGGCAGACAGTAACTAAAGAGAAATATGTAGTGTGTTATATAACGATAAGTGGTTAGAAGAAAAAAAATTAAGCAGAGAAAGGAAATAGATATCAACAGTGAATATAGAAAAGTCAAGGAAGGCCTCACTAAGAAGACTTAAAAACACAATAGAGAAGTTGGCTTTGGGGGATATATGAGAGGCCTATTCCAGGCAAACAGGGCAGGAAGTACAAAGTTCTATGGCAAGGAAGCCAGTGTGGCTGGAGTGGTGTGGTTGATGAGGTCAGAGAGTGAGAGGAGATGGGGATTGGAATAGTCTTGTAGAGCATTGAAAGAAGGACTTTGCTTTCATTGTGAGTGAGAGAGAAACCTCTCCTGGGTTTGGAGCGGAGGAATGACATGAGCTGCCTCCGCTGTGAACAGAATCACTTCTGTTGGACTCATTTTGAAACTCCCTGCCATTGAGTCAATTCCTACTCATAGCCACCCTGTGTAGAGTTTCCGAGGTTGTGAATCTTTGCAGGAGCAGAAAGCCTCATCTTTCAGCTATGGAGTGACTGGTGGGTTTGAACTGATGACCTTGGTTAGCAGTCCAGTGCTTATCCTACAATGCCACCAACAAAAGTTTAAAAAATCAGTAAGCAAAACTCGCTGCAAAGCCAAGTAACATGTTTTCCTTATCAGTTTCAGTGTTATGGCCCCATACCACTAAAAGGAACTTTCTCTAATGTGTTGTTTTCTCCTTGCTTTCTTAATATTTTCTCAGATCCATGCTACTTTTTCATTTGTTTCATAGTTGACATCTTTTTAATTTAGTATTGCTTGTTTTTCCTGAAGTTTCTGGTTGCCTCCATGCCCAGAATTTCTGCTTTATTACGTCTGGAGAATTTTTTTCCAATAAGCTCTCAGTTGATGCTTATTTTACTGCTCCAGGGACCACAACCACTGTTGTAGAGAGCATTTGGTTTAAAGGACTTACTGGAGGTCATATGAGCCCATGACTGAAGACCCATGAAGCGTACCTTAAATTTGGGAAACTTTATCTTATTGTATCTGATAATTTAATGTCCTGGATAATTAATTCTTGCAGTCAGGAACCTTGATTCTTGGTTTTATTTTATTCATACAGGATCAATGCAGTATCCAATGGACAAGTCCGAGGTGATAGTTACAGTGAAGGTTGTCTGGGTCAAACAGGTAAATCTGCAGACAACATCCTAAGATATATGTTGGTATCCTTACATTGAGAATTATATGTGGAAGTGCTACCTAGAGTCCAGTTTATTTAAGGATTTGAATGGGTAGATCTTAAGCAATTTAAATGGTGAATCTACATATTACATCTCCACAAAAATAAATGGGATAGACAGCTGTCAACCTTTAAAACTTTATTTTCACAAAACAGGAAAAACTGATGAAGGCAGCTTTGATCTCTGCTCTCAGACTCTTTCTCTTGTTAGATGAACTTAAAAACAGAAATTCTTATCTACCATAACCTTGGGATAGAATAAACAAATGCTAATAGTGTTAATAATTAATTAGCCAAAATAGCTAGAGCCAGGAATAGAAGAGGGTCTTCACATCTTGAATGTCTTGAAATACAGTTTGCTAGCTAATCAAGCACAGCTTTGGAGGCCCAGATCCAGTTGTATATATTTTAATATCACATTTTATGAGCAATGGTTAATTATTTTGGAATTAGTGTTTTATGTCTTGGACATGAAGTCAGAAATTAACATTAACATGAAATCAGAGTATAACATTCTATTTGCTGTGCTTTATTGAACTAGGTAATGTTTTTATTAAAATAGATTTGTGTGATAGTCTCATCTTAGAATTCATTTTATACTGTCTAAAAATCCATTTATTTTACAGCAAATCTTCATAAATATGACATAAATGTGTTTTAAAAGTTGATTTTCCTCCTTGTTTACATAACTTTAATGCAGCCTCCCTAAATGCTACCCACAGTAAATTTTAATTTCCTGAAATGTATAGCATCTTTTAGATTCTTATAGCAATGCTTATGATTCTTAAGTGTATTTATTTGCTTAGAAGTACTCTGAGAGAACTTTAAACTTTGAAACACAATTTCTAAAATATATGGAGAATAAGCTTCTAATGATGGTAAAACATATTTTGTGAGATGTTTTATAGGAAGGTTGAGTAAATTATTTTTCAGTATAGGTCTTTGGGAAATAAATAAACATGTAGAGTATACAGACTAATAAGGCAAAGAACAACATCTGCACTGATGAAAGACACTTAACATCTCTTCTTCCATCTACGCATTATAGACTTTAATGGCAACTGTATGTTGTTGTTTGGAAAAGTTTAATTGTACTCACTGGCCACAAGAGAAACCACTCTGATAAAATGGTATTTCTTTCAAGGGGCTCGCATTTGGCTGTTTATTGGTTTCATGTTGGCCTTTGGATCGCTGATTGCATCTATGTGGATTCTTTTTGGAGGTTATGTTGTTAAAGGTAAGAGAAAGCAGTTTGCATTTTACTTCAATTGAATGCTTAATTTTCACATTAAAATCTGTTATCTAGATAAATATTTTACTGTGTTTTGGGTGAAAGTGTACATAGCACTTGAGGCTCCTATTTAACCATTTGCCCACAGTGTTCAGTGCCACTGTTTATATTCTCCACAGTGTGTGCCCCATAAGTATTTTATTTGCTTATTTGCATATTTTTAGCATTCCTTTTCTTTTGTATTTTTTATTTTAAAATAGAACCTGGAAGTGATAGCACACAGCTCCAAACCTTGCTTCTCTCTGATATCTAAACACCCCAAGCAGAATATGTGAGAGTGCTTCAGAGAGTTCGAGGAAAAATGGATTAAAAGATAATGGAATTTCAACACAACAATATACCTGGTTCTGCACTAGCCTTACAGTTGTTGTTATGTTCAATCCATCTTATAGGCTGTCTTCCTCTTTTTTGCTGACCCTCCACTTTCTCAAGCATTTTGTCCTTCTCAAGAGACTTGTCCCTTTCGTCCAAAGTATGAGACAGTCTCACCATCTTTACTCCTAAGGAGCATTCTGAATGGCTGTACTTCTTCCAAGACAGATTTGTTTGTTCTTCTGACAGTCCATGGGACTTTCAATATTCTTGACCAATGCAATAAATTAAATGCATTGATTCTTAAAAAAAAAAAAAAGACAATGGAACTTTTTCAGGAACATTTTGAAACTCCTTATTTGTGTGTGTGTGTGTGTGTGTGTGCTTTATAGCTGTTGGACAGGTGTTGATTTACTGAATAATACTAGAGTGGAAATTTCCTTATTTAAGCCTCCCTGGTAATATGCTGATCTCCTTGTAGATAGAAATGTAGATTAAAACTTAATGTGCATCAGCTATATAAGGTCAGTTTGAGGCCAGCTCAGGAAAGGGCCTACTGTTAGATCCTTGGCTGAAATTTCACCTTGAAGGACCCCAGGAAAATACCAAATCCATTTAATGTTCATCGTAAAAATAGACTAGTCTATTAAAAATGTGATTTTAAAGATTTACAACAGCTAGACCAGCATAAACCTAATCTAGCTCATATTTTTACACAATTTCTTCAAATAAAATCCAACTATTCTAGATTAAAATCATGAGTTACCTGATTTTTAATTAAAATTCTTTTAACTTTACAGACAGGAATTATAGGCATTTAAAATTTATAGTTAGTTTTACTTTTGCTTGTATAATTTCTTATTAAAACCATGTTATCAAAATACCTGTTTTTTGCTTCACATGGCATCATAAATAGTTTTCTTGCTGTTGATCTTTTTCACATTGTAAACAGATTTTTTTGTGTGTGATTATGTAAATTATATAATACTTGCTCACTGTAGAAAACCAAAGAATACAGAAGAGTTCCAAGAAGGAGGCAAAATGACTGATAATTCTTCTTTTGCAGATACAACACTATTAATATAGACATTTTGTAGGAATGTCTTTAGCTCATAGAATTTTAGGTTATTTTCGTAAAGGCTTCTGACATCAAGTAACACCGTGTTGTGCTCCAAATATTATTATTAGCAGCAGATCTGTTAATTTTGCAGAGTTGCCTTGACGTAACACCTACCCGAGCCTTTCTAGTGGTGATTATTTAATGTGGAATAGTAACAAAGGTGTGTCCAAAACAAAGTGATTTGAAGAATTTTCAGAATAAAGGTTGACAGTGTTTCTGTTCATGGTGTCTCAGTTTGTCACTTAGTGAGTAACCAGTGGCAGTGCCAGTGGTAGAAATTGATGAGATTTCAATCCAGGATAAAATTGGAACAAGATGCTCTTCTAGCAGTCTTCCTCCATCTTAGCTACTGGCCACTCTGTCCTTCCAGGTACTCAGGCCAAAAGCTTTGGGTGATTAATGCCTGCCACGATGACATCCCTCTTTCTCTCATATCCAGTCCATCTGCAAATCTTGACTCTGCTGCCAAAATATATCCTGTATCTGGCCATTTTTACCATCTTCACTGCTACCACCAGGTTCAGTTCACAATTTCCTGAAATGGCCTAATTGATTTCTTTGTTTCTTTTCTTGCCCTCTTTAGCGGGCTCTCTCTCAGTGCAGCAGTGAGAGTGAGCCTGTTAGAATATGTCAGCTCATTTCACCTACCTGCTCAAAACTCACCAGTGGCTTCTTAATGTCACTCAATACAAATCCAAGTCCTTCCTATGACCTCCCGGGCTCTATAGGATCTTCACCCCCACTGCTCACCTGCTTCACTTCCTACGTTTCTCTCCTTTGCCCACATGGCCGTTCCTCTCCTATACCTGGCACACCCCACTGCAAGACTTCTGCTTGTGCTGTTCCCACTGCCCTCGCTGATTTCACATCCTTAATTCATGTTACCGTCTCATGAGGCCTTCCTGGCCTCTGGTGTAAAATGGCATACCAGCCACTAGATATTCTATACCTTTCTTGCTTTATTTTTTTCTCTTTATGTGTTTATTCTTTTTATTGCCCAGCTCTGTGAGGGGAAAAAAAAATAAGCAAATTGTTTACTTCTGTATCCTCCACACCATGAACAATGTCTGGCACATAGTGTACAAATATTTGTTAAGTGAATGGACCAAACCAAAACCTGCTGCCATCAAGTCAATTCTGACTCATATCCACTTGTGTAGAGTTTCCAAGGCTATGAATTTTTATGGAAGCAGAAAGCCTCATCTTTCTCCTGTGGAGCCGCTGGTTGGTTTGAAATGCTGACCTTGCAATAGCAGTCCAATGTTTATCCTATAGCGCTACCAGGGAGCTATCATTCAGTAAACTGAAACTAGACTCTGTCCTATGCATCGTGTCATTTAATATTCAAACCAGCCGTTGTTGTTAGGTGCCACTGAGTCTGTGCCACCTCATACCGACCCTGTGCACAACAGAACAGAACACTGCCCTGTTCTAAGCTACACAGTTGTTTTGCCTGAGACCATTCCTGCTGCCACTATGCCAATCCATCTTGTTGTGGGTCTGCGACCTTTTCGCCTATCCTCCACTTTTTCAAGCATGATGTCCTTCTCCAGGGACTGGTCCTTCCTGATAACATGTCCAAAGTATGAGAGACAAGTTTTTGCCATTCTGGCTTCTAAGGAGCAGTCAGGCTATACTCCTTCTGAACGGATTTGTTTGTTCTTTGGGCAGTCCGTGGTACTTTTAATATTCTTTTCCATCACCATCATTCAAGTGATGTCTTTTGTGGTCTTCCTTATTCATTGTCCAATTTTCACATGCATATGAAGTTATTGAAAATACCATGTTTTGAGTCAGGCTCAGCTTAGTCCTCAAATTGACATCTTTGCTTTTGACCACTTTAAAGAGGTCTTGTGCGGCAGATTTGCCTAATACAGTACATAGTTGGATTTCTTCACTGCTGCTTCCATGAGTGTTGATACTGGATCCAAGAAGTCTTTGACAACTTCAGTCTTTTCTCCATTTATCATGATCTTACTTATTGGTCCAGTTGTGAGGATTTTTGTTTTTGTGACATTGAGGTGCAACCCATAGTGAAGTTTTTTAACTTCATCAGTAAGTATTTTAAGTCCTCTTGGTTTTTAGCAAACAAGGTTTTATCATCTACATATTGCAGGTTGTTTTCCTCCAGCTTTTCAGATGATTTGCTCAGTATACAGTTTGAATAAGTATGGTAAAAGAATATAACCCTGGCGCATACCTTTCCTGATATTACGCTATTCAGCGTCCCCTTGTTCTATTTGAACACTGCCTCTTGATCTATGTACAGGTTCCTCAAGAGTACAATGAAGTGTTGTGGAGTACCCAAACCAACCATTGTTGTTGTTAGTGTTGTGGAGTCAGTGCAACTCATAGTGACCCTGTGTAGGGCTTCCAAGGAGTGGTTGGTGGGTTTGAATGGCATGCTGACCTGGCAGTTAGCAGTCTAGTACTTAAAAATCTGTTATGATAGACAAGAAACTGGTATTTGCTAGTAGTATATCTTGAAGCTAAATGAATTAACATCATAAACTTCTAAATATTGCAATTGTTTTTACAGAGAAACCCGTAGTATACCCTGGAATTGCTGTGTTTTTCCAGAATGCCTTCATCTTTTTTGGGTAAGTTTAGTTTGTTTTCCATTCTTCATCCTGCCTTTTTATGTTTTTATTTTCAGTTTTTAATAGCTGATTTATTTTATGTCATTTGTGTGTTTAATTTGCCCCTTGCTGTTGTCATATAAAATATGAAGAATGAGAATGAGAGGATATTTTTAATACGTGGGTTGATTTGCTGCCAGAGTTGGGAACATACGTTAATTTAAAAAATTACCACCACTCCCCCTTAAGTGAAGAACTGTGATTCATGTAATTTTAGTTACATAACACTGATAGTGCTCATTTTAAATCTAGGTCACTAGAAGTTGATTTTAATGAAAGTCTGCTTACAGCCACTTCTTATTAAAAATATGGTTTCTGACTCCGTTATAGTTCTATTTGTAGTGAGCTTTGAATTTGTAAGTATGATTGGCGGTATAGAAAAAACAGTCTTGAAATATTTGATCCTTCTGATACAGTTACAAATAAAAAAATAATTACCATGCACTTCTGCCTTCTTTGCCGTGAGGTCCAAAGAACTGGCTGTTGCCTGGCTACTATTACTGACCATTTTGATCAGTAGTTCTCTAGAAGAATTCTGATCCCAAAAGGGAAATGCAGAACAGTAGTTCAGATTCTCTTACACTTTGAGGGTGGATGAACCCCTGAAACTATTGCCTTGACAGAAGATCTTTAAACCTTAAACCAATAATATTCCCTGAAGTCTTCTTAAAACTAAACAATAGTTTAATTTAGCTAGTAAAGATTGTCTGCCTTGAGCGTTGTGCTTTTTGAAGATTTAGGTACATGGGCTCAAATTGACAACAGGAACTCCAACGATTAGATAGAAAACTGAGGGGGCAGTGAGTTTCTGTTAGTGGGAGAAAAGGAAGGAGGTAGGGTAGTTATACCATTCAAAGAATCTAATAATGTCACTGAGTTGTTCATGCAGAAATTGTTGACTTGGTATATGTTCTGTTGTATATGCTGTCAATAACAATAAAATATAAAATAGGTAATTTTCAGAAAAGATGATTCAAAACTTCTTAAAATACCCAGTATTTTATTAATAATCTTCTCTACTGTTCATTCATTCCTGGAAATTCACCGTACTCTTTCCCCTTCCCTTAGTTCCCACCCCACACCTAAACCTCTCTTCAACCTCTGCATCAGGAGTTCTCTTTTTCAAAAACAGTTTTATTGTGTTTTCAGTGAAAAGCATCAGAAGTTCTTAACCTGGAGTCCATGGATAGGCCTGTGAAGATAGGGAACCACTAGCCATTTCCCTAGGCCAAACACTGGTGTTTCTGTTCGTTTCTGGAAAGAGAAGGGTGTAGCTTTCCTCAGATTGTCAAAGAAGCCCTTAACCCTAAAAAGGTTAGTTAGTTGCCCACTCTTGGCCATCCTGTGTGTGCAGAGTAAAGTTACTCTACAGGGTTTTCAAGACTGATCTTTCAGAAGCACGTTTCTGAGGCCTGGCTTCTAAGGCGCCTCCCAGTGGGTTGGCAACAGTTAATCGTTGATGCCACCCAGGGATTCCTCTAAAAAAATTGTCTGCTGTATACTGTAGGACTTTTCTTCCCCATCCCTCATCTACCCACTAAAAAGACAAAAAAACACCTCTGGACTTGAACCACTTCTTAAAGTGCTAACTGTGTTCTTCAGTGTTAGCCAGCAGTTGTAATTCACACTTATTCAATTCCACCACTAGGCAGTTTTGCAATTAAAAAAAAAAATCATTGTGGAAATTAAAATGTGAACTTAGATGTGGCAAGATGTATAACCTATTTGGATTACAGTTTATGTCCTGAAATTGGCGTGAAACCCCAAAGGGTTTTTAAAAAAGGAAGAAATATATATATAAATGCAAAATCATGCCATAGAGTCACTCTGACATAGTGAGACTGTTTAGGGTTTTTGAGACTGTAAATCTTTACTGGAGCAGAAAGCCTCATCTTTCTCCTGCAAAGCCACTGGTGGGTTTGAACTGCTGACCTTGTGGTTAGCAGTCTAGTGCTTATCCTACTGCACTACCATAGGACTCCCTGCTCAATAACTTGTTTTCTTCATGAAGCTCAGTGATATACATACAAGTGTGTGTATATGTATTGTTGTTGTTGTTGTTAAGTGCTGTCGAGTCGATTCTGACCCATAGTGACCCTGTGTAGGATTTCCAAGGAGCAGTTGGTGAGCTTGAACTGCTGACGTTGCAGTTCAAACAGCTTTGCAGTCTGACGCATTAGCCCACAGCGCCACACCAGCACTCCGTGTATATATCTATATATGCCATTGAGTTTTATGCAGAAAGCAAGTTTATTAAGCAATTCCTATATGCTATGCACCATTCTGGAGTCCTGGTGTGGCACTGTAGGACAAACATTGGATTGCTAACCCCAAGGTCAGTGGTTCATCTCCATCAGCTGCTCCTTGGAAACCCTCTACAGGGTCACTATGAGTGAGGACTGACTTGATGGCACTTCACAACAGCAGTAACAACAGGCACCATCCTTAGTATGTCACATGTAGAGTCTCATTTAATCTCTGTGTTAACTCTCTGACGGTGGTTCCATTATTATCCCCATTTTACGGATGAGAAAACAGGCACAGCGAAGTTAGATAACTTGCTTGAGATCCTTTGGTTAAAATTCAGATTGAGGCTTCTACCTCTGAAATTGAGACTCTACTACAATGATGAAATTTGCAAGTTTGTATGAATTTAGATGACATTTGCTTCTTTTGCTGAGACTTAGTATTGGTTCTGGTTCACTCCCTTTTAAAAAGAATTAGCACTAGTCAAAATTACAAACTGAGTAAACTCTACCCCCAACTTCACAAATAGAATGTATTATTGAAAAGAAAGGTTAGAGAAATAAAAGCTATCACTAAAAGCCCCTTTAAAAAAAGTCATTTTCTACCCAGAAAGTCTTTGTTTACATTTTAAAGAAGTAAAAAGATCATATTGCATTTTTACAGAAAGTAAGTCATCATTTAAGGCTCAGTATTGTCTCTAGCATTCTAAAATGTATTGCTCTATCTGTTGAATGCTTGAGTGAGTTTGTCATTCTGTAGGGCTATGTAGCATTTGTTTATGAGAGAGAGGAAAATATTTGAGCACTGTTGATACTTAAGATTTCTTTTCCTTTCACGGTACAATGCTGAGGCCAAAGTTTCTTTAAAGAAACTCAACTCACTGTTCCAGTCTCCACAGGGTTAGAGATTGCTCTGGGGAATCAATACCTACAACTTCAGCCAAAGGAAAATAGGGTAGAGTTCCAAGGCAGGGATCAGAGACACTTCAGTGGTAGGCAGGACATTCACTGAGAACAAACTTGGCCCTTCTCTTAATCTACCCGGCAAGGATGTAAGAAAAAGTAAATTCCTTCTTGAATTGTGGCTTTTAACAGAGAAGTAAATCAATATGTCATAGCAGAGAGAAACAGAGGATTGGAAAAGGAAAAACCGTGAGGAAGTGTTACCTTTTCCAATGAAGAGATAACACTTAAATTCATAAAGTAGTAATCATATTTCACAAAACATTGGAAACTGCGGACTTGTCATTTTCTCAAAATAGCTACAATAAATCTATGCAGCAAATTTAGTTAATGTCTCATTTGTTAACTGGTGTACCTCTGAAGTCTAAAAACAAATTTGGTTTTGTGAAAATACTACAAGCCAATGGAAATTCAATTGAACTCATTGACATTTTGATTGGAATCATTGTAGCAGATTGCCTACCGTTCTGATTTATAATAGAACAGTACAGCTTAGAAATTACTGTTTCAGAAATCAGAAACAGATGTCAGTACCAAAGGTGACCATCTGACAATGGAGGAGGGACTGGCTCTTGCCCAAGAAACTCTTCAGATGACAGCTCACATCTGTTGACTAGTCTCTGAATGTACCCAGTCTCTTTTAAGCTATCTGGAAAGGCGAGAACCTAGTAACCAGTTATGATTTTTCTTTTTACAGCAGTGGGTTTGATATTAACCATAAGAGCAGAAATCAAATCACCTTTTGGATGTTTATTAAATTTTTTATAAAGAGAAATTATTCCTTCCACAAGAGGGTATAGATGACTTCCGGTTGCATTTTTTTTCTTCATTAAAAATCACTCAAGTACGTACCTTGATGAAGGTCTTATGAAACAGTTAAAAATTGATCATTAACAACTGTGAACTTAACTTATACACTGATCGTTGGAAAGCAGAAGAGAAGAGAAAATTAATTTCTGCATATGCAATTGAAATGTCTGCTCTTTCTTCCACCACTCGTCTGTCAGTTTGTCACACTGTGGTGGCTTACATGTTGCTGTGATGCTGGAAGCTATGCCACCAGTATTTTCAATATGGGCAGAGTCACCCAGGGTAGACAGGTTTCAGCAGAGCATCCAGAATAAGACAGACTAGGAAGAAGGAGAGATGAACTGCTTATAAATGTTTAGCCACTGAAAATCTTACGAATAGCAGTGAAACCTTGTCAGAAATAGTGCCAAGGATAAACCCCTTAGGTCAGAAGGCAATCAAAATACAACTGGGGAAGAGCTGTCTCCTCAAAGTAGAATTGACCATGATGATACAAATGAAGTAAAGCTTTCGGTACCTTCATTTGCTGATGGGACACAACACAAAATGAGGAGAAACAACTGTAAAAATCTGTTAGTAGTCTGCACGTGGAATGTACAAAGTATGAACCTAGGGAAATTGGAAGTCATTAAAAATTAAATGGAACTAGATCCTAGGCATTATTAGTAAGCTGAAATGGACTACTATTGGCCATTTTGAATCTGGCAATATGTGATTTACTATGTTAGAAGCGACAGATGTAAGAGGAATGGTACCACATTCATCAACAAAAAGAACATTTCAAGATCAGTTTTGAAGTACAACACTGTCTGTGATAGGTTAATATCCATACACCTATGAGGAAGATCAGTTAACACTACTGTTATTCAAATTTACACCCCGGCCACTAAAGCCAGTGATGATGAAGTTGAAGAATTCTCCTAACTTCTTCAGTCTGAAATT